ATGTTTACTGGTAGAATAATCTCCCATTTAGTCATTTCACTGGCCATATTGAAGCCGCTTAAGACCCGAGCTACGGGCACGACTTGATTCTATAAACCGAGTTGCTCCACGACCCATGATCGGATGATATTCGTAGAGCCACCTGGATCGACTAAAACACGTTTAACTTGAACTTTATTTAATAGGATAGAAATTTCCAGAGCGTCATTGTGGGGCTGAGAAATGCCTTCCACTTCTTTGATTTCGAACGGTAAAGTGCCTTCGGGTTCATAATCTCTAGTTCGTTTTCCCCCTGTGACTGGTACCTTAATGCGTTTGAGTACGGGTTCCTGTGGAGTGTCGGCCCCACCGATGATCATGTGATTGATATGTTAAGGCTCCTCATGTTATCTTTCCTATTGGCGTCCTTTTCTATGAAGTGATTCTTGGCTCGATCGTTGAGGAACTCTCGAAGGTGGCCCTTATTGAATAGACATGCTACCTCCTCCCTTAATTGTCTGCAATCCTCAGTCCTGTGGCCATGCGTACCGTGATATTTGCACATCGAATTTGGGTTCCTTTGGGAAGGATCGGTTTGCATGGGTCTGGGCCACCTAGTATCTTTGATTCGTCCGATTGCCGATACGATGCTCGATGCATCGACGCTGAAGTTATACTCCGATAACCGAGGTGCCTCTATAGGATCGACATATTTGTCAAAGCCATTCTTGCTCATAAGTCTCTGAGAATTCTGTCCTCGATCACTCCTTCGATTGTTCCGGGAGGCATTGCGTATCGAACTGTTGTTCATTCGATCTACGACGTATGGTTGATATCGGTCTCTGTTCGACCTCTGCTCTCTGTTGATGTCCCTCTGGTTTTTAATAGCCGACCTGTTCGGATGCATGGATCCAGAAGGAACTCCTAATTAGTTGTCTTCGACCCTGATTTTTGACTGGTATCGATTGTGTACATCTGCCCAAGTCATTGCTGGATACTCAATCAAATTTTATTTCAGCCAACGTGATGCTATTGAACTTTGCTCACTCAGTCCTTGGGTGAAAGCTTGGACGGCCCAATCGTCTGTGACCGGTGGCAACACCATGCGTTCCATTTGAAATCGGGACACGAACTCCCTTAGCATTTCATTATCCCTTTGTTTTAATTTAAAAAGGTCTGATTTCCTTGTTGTAACCTTTATGGCGCCGGCGTGTGCCTTCACAAAAGAATCCGCTAACATGGCAAATGAGTCGATGGAATTTGGTGGCAGGTTATGATACCAAATCATCGCCCCCTTTAAGAGGGTCTCTCCGAATTTTTTCAACAAAACGGATTCAATTTCATCATCTTCTAGATCGTTACCCTTGATGGCACACGTGTAAGAGGTGACGTGTTTGTTGGGGTTGGTCGTACCGTTATATTTGGGGATTTCGGGCATACGGAATTTTTTAGGGATTGGTTTTGGGGTTGCACTCGATAGAAAAGGCTTTTGCACGAATATTTTGGAATCCAACACTTTTATCATTGGTGGATCCCCCGGGATCTGATCGACCCTGGAATTATAGGTTTTAACTTTTTTATTGTTGGCTTCGATTCGTTTTGTGAGCTCCTCAAGTATTTTAGAAATTTCGGGAGTAGTCCCCGATTCCTGCTCGTTTGACCTTACTATGGCTGGCTCCATTCTGTAGGAAATTTCTCAAGGTGGACTAGGCTCCGACCTGCTCGGTAGCTGGGTTTGGCTCTGCAACTGAGCTATCGTTACTTGTTGGGCTTGCAACATTTCAAAGATCATACGCAAGTTGACTCCGATCTCCTCCACGTTATGGGTGTCTCGAGCTGCTGATCGAGTACCGCCATGAATGCTATTTTTAGGTTCAGAGCGTTGGTTTGCCTCGAGGGCCACATGTGAATTGACGTCTAGTGGTACTTCGATTCGAGCTTCAGGCACCTCGACTCGATTTTCAATGACATTGATAGGCGGCCTTCTGGCCCTGGGCATCAAGTTGTTGGTTTCATCTTGAAGGCCAGCTTCGCTGCCGAAAGGTAAAGCTATTAATCGAGGGTTTGCCATTGCTAATTCGTAATTAAAGATACTCTAAAAAAAGAGCGTAAACTGGTGTGTGCTGCAGATTTGTATCAAACAACTACTGTTATCCTCTGCCCCACGGTGGGTGCCAAACTGTTTACCCAGAAAATCGGATAGAGTTTAATTTATAAGTAGTTCTAAGGATATGTGATATAACTTGACACAAATCGTACAGAGAAATAGGAATACGTGTATTCTTGTCTATAAGAACATAAGATAAAAATAGTGAGCAAGAAGAAAGAATGAACTAGATAAGATAAAGTAAAATGAGCTCAAGAACAGTAGTCTTTGTTACAATGTGTCAATCTGCCATATGCTTACAACAATAATCCTCTTTATAGTAGAGGGATCCTACTTTGGATACAATAAAAAATACATAGTGGGAAACCCATAATGAATTAGTTTTTCTCTAATTTTCGCCAGAATTCTCTCCCCTAGTGCGGTTGCAACGGCTCTTGTCTGTGAGCTCGATACTGTCTCGAGCTTGATATTGGATCGAGCCCTCGGCCTTGACTCGAGCTCGATTCTGACTCGGAGTCTTGATAATCGGGGTGGGTGTTGGTCGGTCTATGCACCTTCGACAATCTTCGCTTTTCCTCGTAGTACGATTTGGATATGAGCTCGATAACGATACCGAGCCGGTCATTGATCGGTCTCAGAGCTCGAAGCTTGACGTCCTTACTTCGGACCTCGACCTGCCATTACGCAGGTACCCTTCGATCGAGGTATCATCATCTCGACCAGTCCGTACGATTGACTAATAGGTTTTGATTGTATACAATACTCTAAATCTTATTCAACTTTGGAAGAATTGAAATTATATTTCATGTTAATATTCTCCAACTTATTTGGGAAGGCATAATTATAATTATTGTTGATCAGTATTCGTAATTAACATGAAATAAACGGTATAATAGACCAAAAATAAAGATGGAAAGGCTAGTTTCATGTTTCAAAAGAACAACTTAGTGAATATGAAGTCATAGGTCAAATCATAATAAGCTTTTTCATATCTTTATTTACTCTCATATAAACTATGTGAAAATAAATAAATAAATAAATAAATAAATAAATAAATAATGGTTAATGTGAATGGAATCGTGTATTTACAACGGGCCACGGACATGTAGACCAAGTATAGATGGGCCTAGAAATGTTAAAATAGCACGGGCTAGTCAGTTTTCAAATTGGAGCTTTTGACAAAGTTAGCCGCTCGACAAATATTATAAACAAATGCTAGCCCACAATAGCACATTATAACTTGTAGCCATAAATAAATAAATTATGTTAACCACTGTGCCGCCCCGAGCCTCAGTTTTCTTATACAAAATTATAATTTACTGTTAGGATAATTTTATAGATTGGCATCCCTTATACTAGTTTTTAATATTACGTTTACTTTATTTATTTTAATTTTTTGTGTAATAATTCTTCTAACTTTTTTTTTAGTAATGCAGATAAATAGGAGTATAAGATAAATGTGCCCTTTTCTATATTAAACTCTTGCAATTGATAAATTCTATCAAACTAACGTATTTAACAAATTCTTTAAGAATAACAATAACAATAACGGTCCAATCTATCAATAGTCAATAGCGGTCACCCACCTACGACCACCCCACCACCAAGAAAAGAGGAGAAAACAAAACCCAACAAACAAAAACATAAATTTATGGAACGTAAAGATTTGAACTCTTGCATCTTTTTCTAGATAAGGGAGACAATTTATACGTATAATTATACAAAATAGACTGTCACTATAAACTTTATATATAATAGACTGTCACTATACACAATATATATTAAATAGACTGTCACTATATAAAAATTATACAAAATAGACTGTCACTATACAAATATATATAAAATAATCTGTCACTATACAAAATATATACAAAATAGTCTGTCACTATACAAAATATATACAAAATATATACTAAATAGACTGTCACTACATAATTTATATACAATAGACTATCACTATACAAAATATATACAAAATAGACTGTCAGTATACAAAAAATATACTAAATAGACTGTCACTATACAAAAAATATACAAAATAGACTGTCACTATACAAAAATATACAAAATAGACATTTCGGGATATTAGATGTAATATGTTTGGGCCGGAGGGACATTTCGTGTCAATGGGTAAAACATGTGCTATTAAAATTTTGAGGGGCTATAGATGGTCGTTTTCTCTTCAAACTGGTAATTGAAAAATAGTCAACGTTTGCAAAGTTATTGAAAAATAGCTACTATTTTACTGTAACACGGAAAGTTCCAGCATAATATACTGGAGATTGGAGCACCTATGTATGAACTTCCAACATATTATGCTGGAACTCCAGCGCACGGAAAGTTCCAGCATAATATACTGAAGATTGGAGCACCTACGTATGAACTTCCTGCATATTATGCTGGAACTCCAGCGCACGGAAAGTTCCAACATAATATACGTGAGATTAGAGCACCTGTGTATGAACTTCCAGCATATTATGTTGGAACTCCAACACATTATGAAATTCCGGCATATTATGCTGGAAGTTCACATGTAAAAAATTCGAACTCCAGCATATTATGCTGAAATATTTTCTGAATTTGAACAGTATTTTTGTTCAAATTTATCTTTATATAAAAAATGACTAAATTTCGATTACTTTTGAAACTACGACTATTTTTCAATTACCACTCTGTAAATTTGATTTTTTTAATTTCACCCCCGTAGAAATCCGTCCAAAATTTATAGAAACTCGGACACCAAGTCCACACTCCACATATAAATAGGAAAAAGGGAATGATAAGCCTTTAACAGCCAATAGCCAGTTAGCAGGCGCGGCTTACCGTCTAATAATCACCTTACCCGGTCACCGGTCACCCTGTATAAATATAAAGCCAAGGGTAGATAAGGCTCTCCTCCTCACCGCCATTACCTGCCCCTCTTTCTCAGATCCTCTCATATATTCCTCCCTCCCTCTCTCTCTCTCTCTCTCTCTTGAGATCTCTCTCCACAAAGCCCAGCACCCCTCACAGAAATCCAAATCTTTACGCATACAAATATATAAAAGCTTTCTTCTTTCAAAATTTTGGCGCTTTACAATTGATAACCAACTCTTTCCTCTTTTTTCTTTCTTGAAATAACTGGAAATTCACGTACTGAGTCTTTAAACAAAAACCTAGATTTACAAATTTTGATTTCACAATCAGGTGGTTAATAGTTTGTGGGTCTGAATCGGGTTGGATCTTTGTGTTTCTGGATCTTGATTGGAAACCCTAATTGAGCAAATCGGGTCAAGATTTAACTTGAATCAAAGAAATTGTAATTTTAAGAATTTGGTTTTTGAGATTCTTGACTAAGTGGAAATTTGTGGGTATTTTGAGACCGTTGGATAACGAAACAAGGGGAATGGCTGAAGTGGGTCTAGAAGGGAACCAGCCAGTGGATTTGTCTAAGCACCCATCTGGGATTGTGCCTACTCTTCAGTAAGTTCTCTCCCTTCCGTCCCCATTGTCATGGAGTTAAAGTTTTTATACATTGAAGCTCACGCGAATGTAATTGTACACAACCGAGGAAAGTCAATCAGATTGAACACTACCGGAATCTGGTGTTTATAACCTATGTACCCAAAGCTCGAATTATTTTCTGCTAATGCAAAAAAGAAAACAAAAGAACAAAAGGGTCATGTTCTTCTATGTTTTAATATTTTGATTCATACCCTTCTTGGCTTTTGTGCAAAGGAATGAGTTGAACATTGTTAATTTTTGAGATGCTTAAATACATTCTTTGCTGCAATGGTCCTTTTTTCTCAGATGTGTAGCAATTTTCAGTGGAGCTAAATGTGGCAGCCATCTGCATAAGAGGGAAAGGGGGGTTGTGGTAGCCATGTTTTTTAATGCTCTTCAAGATTATCCTAATTTCCTGCGTGAAACATTATGGAGGATTGTGGTGGTCTGTGATAACTTTTGCTGGTGAAGCAAGTGAATGTGATCTCACATGATACTAGTCACCACAAATAAGTGAAATCATGAACTAATCATAGATGAGTAGCTTTTGGCGGTTGATGGGTTTCAAAGGATTAGATTAGTGAACCCCACTTTCAAGCAAGCTGTCCGGATATAGATATAGAAAGAGAGCAGTTTTCCTTTATTGTTATGTAAAATTTGGCCGATGATCCAAGATTGTAATGTTGGGGTCATATATTCATGCTTCTTATACGCAAGATCATCCTCTATTTGCTGGGAGTTGATGTTAAACGTTGAAAACTAACTATCAGCTGATTCTTGATTTCAGGAATATCGTCTCAACTGTCAACTTGGATTGCAAGTTGGATCTTAAAGCTATTGCATTGCAAGCACGTAATGCTGAATACAATCCAAAGGTATTTGAGTATAAATTCTTGATTCACATAAGCAAACCTCTTATGTGTTTATCTTTTTTGGTTACCATCATTTTTTGGGGAAGGGTGTTATCTATATCAGGTCATGTTCGTCATATAGATTGTTAACACTTCTCATTCCTTTATTGATAATGGCCCTCTTACATCATCCTGCAGCGTTTTGCTGCTGTTATTATGAGGATAAGAGAACCAAAGACTACAGCTTTGATTTTCGCATCTGGAAAGATGGTAAGCCTTCTCTTTTGTTATGGATGCTTTTGTAAGTAATCTATTCCCAGTATTACAGTTTGCTCCATTAGTTTCATGGTTTGTCCATGAAAACATTTCCTAAACCTAAATTTTTTTGCTTTAGCCCATTCTACCGGAAAGTTTCTTCAATGTAAGGCTGTTCATGCTGGGCTTCTTTGCTAATGATATATTATCTCTTGGAATTAGGTTTGCACCGGGGCAAAGAGTGAACAATCATCTAAGCTTGCAGCAAGGAAGGTAGACCATATTTCTTGATTGTGAAACCTGATAGGGTCCTTACATGTAATACGAGAAACTTAACTCTTAACTATAATGTGGATACGGACATTTACAAGCGACAACAATTAATGTTTTGAAAATCCCTGAAGAGTGATGAAAAAACACGAACATGTGGGATATGGTAGAAAAAGATACACGCCAAAAATTAGACAATAGTTGTCTAAGAATTTCTGTTCTGTCTTCTATCTTACGTAACATGCAAGGTTTTGTCTTTCAGTATGCAAGGATAATCCAGAAGCTCGGGTTCGATGCCAAATTTAAGGTATATATATCTCAATATATTGCTGTGTTTGCGTTCTTCTGTCTGTGTGCGCGTGCAATCTGATTTTGGGGATAGACTGTTTCTTGATCATTGGTTTTAGTAGACTTACTAGTTTATTTGGTCTCTGGAATCTCGTGGTGGTAGGATTTCAAGATTCAGAATATAGTTGGATCCTGTGATGTGAAATTTCCCATTAGACTTGAAGGTTTGGCCTACTCGCATGGTGCTTTTTCAAGTGTAAGTTACTTTTCCTTGCTCCATGTTTTTCTTTCTCCTTTTTCTTTTTCTTATCTCTTGATATCCCAAGAGAAAGAATAGTGCCGTTGTCATTTCTTTCATACTGAGATGAGATGTAATGTGGTTCTCCAGTATGAACCAGAATTGTTTCCAGGATTGATATACCGAATGAAGCAACCCAAGATTGTGCTGCTCATTTTTGTGTCTGGCAAGATTGTCCTCACTGGAGCAAAGGTGAAACAGGCCTCCTTGTGTCTCTACTGAATAACTGATACTTTTCCATTATTGCATAAACCGTTGACTATACTCACTACAATTTCCTTTTTTTAGGTGCGGGATGAGACATATACTGCTTTTGAGAACATCTACCCTGTGCTTACAGAGTTCAGGAAGAACCAGCAATGGTATGCTGCCTGCTTATCTTTATTCTGCTTTTTCTATTTTCTTTCTGGAGGGGTTGTATGAAACTAAAGACAAAACAAGAATGAGAGAAAATATAGACCTGCTGTATCTGTGCAGATACTCATTTGAAGGAGCAAGGTGAAGTGGGATCACTATTTGGCAGCACGACGTACAGAATGTGCGACAAAGGGTCTTATGAGTGAAGTTATCGGGTCTTCTCTTCTTGAGTTCCGAGTACTTGAAGCAACAATGTGGTTGAGGACCATATATGTGTTTCTGCCAACTGGTCGTGATTGTGGGGTGAGATGGGAACCAAAGATGTCCTCTTTGGCTGATGTTGTGGACTTTTCTCTTATTAATCAAAGCTTTTTCCTCTCATGCATGCGTCTTTTATATTCACATGGCAATGGTTTAAAACTGTGACACTGCTAAACTTCTCCAAGTTAGGCTCAATATTCTGGTTTTTCCAAGATCAGTTTCATCCTGAAAACCTACCAATTACTAAAATAAAAATAGAATGATGACTTGGTAGTGTGAAAAATATGAATGTTGTACTATATGATATTAGACCTCAGAAGTTGGAAGTTTGTAAAAGATAGAGGGTTTAAAAATATCAGAGTTAGAGAGAGGAGGGTGTATTTGCTGTTGTCAATTGCGATTTGCGTTCATAAGGAAAAACAAATTTTGCATTCCTTTGTTATTTAGATGTATACTGGGATTGTGTTATCTACTTAGGCGCGCAAAAAAGCTAAATCTAAGCCAATCAAGTGACAAAGAGCGATGGCTCTCTATTTGTTTGCAATTAAATTTCGTCTATTTCATTTGTTTTCATTAGTTAGATCATTTATGCAAGCAAGCTGCATGAGAATGCAAGAAAGACGTGCATGTACAGCATCAGCTCAGCCAAATGCAACACAGCTATTACAATTTCAGCTGAAATTTTAGTAGTTTGCCATTTTAGTTGTTTTAATACACATACTTATATTGTATTCTTGTTTCATAATAAATCTCACATACAATAATACGTTATGCATTATTTTAACAGTGCTAGATTTTTATGTAGAGATCAAACTTGTTATCCGACCAACAACAACAATAAGCATAGTGTAATCTCACAATTGGGGTTTGGGGATGACAGTGTGTATGCAGACCTTACCCCTACATTCAAAAAGACAGGGACGCTGTTTCCGGTAGGGTTATCAGACCAACCAATACGAAATTTCTTTAGCATAAGTAAAGCTAAATTTTTGATATTACATACCAACAGATATAAAACACACACACACAAAAAGAGGAAATAGAAGAAAAAATTGGTTTGCACTAAACGCCAGATGGAGCAATGATGTCTCACTTTGTATTTGAGCTAAGTACGGAAATAAGCCAAAATTAGCTCAAACTTACCAACAATTAGCCGGCAAGCACTGATTACCAAAAGTAGCCACCAGAAATTGCAAAATTTAAATAGCTACCTATAATCTTTCGATTATGTTAAAAGTTGTATTCGGTCAATCATGAACTTTCTCTTTGTTTTGTCATTCTTTCTTGTTAGTATGAAAGCTGAAGAACTTCAGGAAACTAAAATTGCCCATAACTTGATTTACACAAAAATAATGCAGAAATTACACGTTCCTCTCTTTCCTTAGCATTGCAAACGGTAGTTAATAAGATCGTCTTTCTCTTGCTTGCTTAATCATTTAGTCTGCATCACAAATTCAAACTTTACAGCATATTATTGTTTGAGTTTAAGTACTCCCACACACTAGTAGTGAAAGTCACCTAAAATAATTGGTATGGTTGAAATTCGTTAAAACATATAGATGAGGCAATATATAAAATTTGAGGAATATTAGAGATGATTTGGACTGGTTTGTAGTTAAATTTATAGTTGAAATCGAGTTTAAAAATTTCTGTACCCACGGGTATACATGGATACACATGAGAAATATAGTTGATACATATAGGATAGATAAATAATACACAAGGATACACAAGAAGATACACATCTCATCTTCTTTAAGGTTCATCTTCTACTTCAATTTTGATTTAAATTTCAATTCAAGCCACCTCAAATATCCACCAAATCGTCCCAAAATTAAGATTGAAACCTCTTGAGATATACCCAATTTATTCTAACAACACTCACGTGAAACATCAGAATTACGCTAGAAGTTGAGTTCTAAAACCTAACTTAATTATAAACATAATGGAATTATAAAAAACGCTAGCAAATGACTACTAACACCTAATGCAATTGCAAACACAACGGAAATTAAAAAAAACATGCTAGCAGTTGAGTACCAAAATTTTCATAACTTAAATAAGCTAAGCAACACAATAGAGTTAGGCTTTCTCTTCACTGGGTTGTGGGCAACTCTTCCTCTTAGGGTTACTCGCTACAACGTTCTATCTAGTTCACTTTAAAAGAATCACATTAAAAATTTCAGTTAATATTTATCCCAAAAGAAAGATGATATCATCTGGTGATTTTATTTGTATAACTGTTGCTCCCAAACGCACACACAAGTATACGTGGTCGACAAGTAATATAGGATTGTAAGTCTAGATATCGTACCCACAGGTACTTGTGATTAACTATCAACTAAATTAAACTCAAACAATTAATCTATTCAAGCGATTCCTAAAGTATGAATAATTAACTGCAACTAATCTAGAGTATCAAACTAAGAGATTAAAGGAACAAGTTGGCGAAATTAGACACGAATTCAATGGGAGCCGATATTCTAGAGCTATGGATTAGCTAATAATCTCGTTGAGTCTTCCACTTAAATTGTCTAATTAATTTATCTGGTTTATTAGTTGACAAGCTTAATATTACTCGTAGCCTTCTCCCGAAGTACTACTCGCCTATTCAAGCTAACCTAATGCCTATATTCCTATGGAATTAGGATTAACAAGAACGCATTAATAATTTCCGTATAATAACCAAGCAAGGCGATTAGGTATATCCCTATCCTAACCGCAAATCCGTTCCCAATGCTCGAGTTCAAGATCTTACTCTATTCAATCTTATATGCAATCTAGAATTCCCTCTCCCGAGTTCAATCCTAGATTCGTAGATAGTATTCAATTGGTGATCAATCAATCAAATAATTAGGTGCAAGATTGAATAAATAAATCAATATGATAAAATAATAAGAACAATTCAAGCTTCAAACTACAACGTTCGTGTAGACCCAAAACTCTAGAACTAATAAACTATGAGATTAAAGGAAGAGAAGAGAAAGAAAAACTGAGAATCCTAGCTCCCGAGTGTTCCGTGCGTGTGTTTTTCTCTCAAAGTGGCGTCTACCCCCTCAAAATAGGCTTAGTCTTGCTTTCATACGCGTTGGGTAGGTCTTGGGCCGAAATAACCTTGTCCCGGGCAAAGTTGGAGATATTTTCCGTCACCAGCGCCCATGGTAGCATGGGGCGCTAGCCCTGGCGCTGGGAAAATAAACATTTTGGAAATTACGCCATAGGTAGCTCCCCACGCTGCATGTGGCGCTACAATGGCCAATTTTCACCCTTTTGCTTCTTTTTGGCTCTAGTCTCGCACCTTTCGCCTCTATTACCTCCGAATGATTCCTACATATAAAAATACCACGAATAAGCATAAGTCAATACATTTCATATCTGAAATCTGCGAAACACGAGTAAAATATGAGGCGATATACATATAAATATATATACTTTAAGCCAAATATCAACATCCGACACTTAAACTCTTGCTCGCTCTCGAGTAACGGGACTATCAACCACACTCCAACGACGTACACATCTTTTTATTAAACTCTTGCTCATAACAATGCACTCATGGATTGAACGCCCAACATCACAGAGAAGTCTAATAATGTTACCTATCCCTCGTGAAACCATGTGCCCTCACAACAAGAACAAGAGAATAAGTTGAATCCACACATTCGAATCTCATGATCAAATATTTTAAGGACTCACATATATCAAAGAAAATCTCTCACTCTCATAAAGAAGTCACATGCATGTAAAAGGTACTATAGACTTGCCCATAATGTAAATCTCTACCAATATAGGCTCACTCGATCTAAAATCAATTAGGACTTTATGTAGTTGTAATGTGGGCCAAGGGACGGGTAGGATATAGTTAGGATTAGTAGTTCACCCTCTTAAACACTTTAACACATCACATAATGAACTTTAAGCGCAAATTCTTCAATCCACTTCAATTTCACAAATAAGATCACTCCCCAAAATTATTTACTCTTTCTTTAAGCACTACTTTAATTTATACCCCACTATAAAGAACAAGACAATAATTTATTCATCTCAATTTTCCTTCTCTTTTTTCAAAATTTTCTTTCTTTTTCTTTCAAACTTTTTTAATTTCCGCTAGTGGTGTATTATTTTACAAAACAAGTGCACATTTATTCTTCCATTTATTCCACTCAAAAGCCACCACACACTTAACCCTTTCTTCTTCTAGCACTCATTTCACAATTAAAGTGCTTTTAGAGGTAACAAGATCAAAATAATGTCAATTAAGAACAAAAGGGTATCGGCTTGTAACATGGGTGCCAATTAAAAGTCTATAGGCTCAAAAGGGTTAACTAGGGATAATTTTTATTTTTGTGATAAACATTAAGCTCAAAAAGATCAAAGAAAGCCTAAAATTATTTTTCAAACCGAGCATCACCTAAAATTTCATTTCAACTTACATACTGGGCAAGTTCTAGACTCAATCACAATAACATGGACTACACAAAATTACACTTCACACATGACACATGACTCACTAAGGACAATCTCATTCCGACTCTCAAACAATGCAGGTATTCACAGAGCCACAAGATATTAAGCATTAAGCACAAAGCGAATATAAATCAAGCAGAAGAGGCATAGGCGTCACAAGACATGCTATCCAATTTCATCAAGGCATCATGGACAATTTCAAAATATAGAGAAGATACTCCACATGCCAAAGCTTTAATATGCTACTATCAAACAAGTCAATGGTGCCTAGGTTCATCAATCTTCTTCCTTTTATTTCCTAAACTCTAATCTACTCTAAAAAATAAACTACTACCCGGTTCAAACTACATCCCATGGAAAAGAACCGAAGCACAAAGAAAAATCACGGGGGCTTATTGCTACCTAAAGGAAAATAAAAGACAAATTTTTGGATTTTTTTTTCAAATTTTTATTTTTGTAATTTTTTTCATTGGACCTTAATCCCTCAAGAAAGTTGTCCACAAAATTCATCGTCGGGAAAAGTTCATATTTTCTGCTTTTTTTTCTTTCCATTTTCATTTTTTTTTCAATTATTTATTTATTTATTTAACAAAAACCATTACACTAAGAAAGAATATTACAACTAAGCTAGGGTAGCACAGAAAATTATCCAGACAATCTCTTCACCCCACACTTAAAATTGTGCAATGTCTTCAATTCACACTATAAATAACAAGTAGGTAAAAGAAACTCTCTGGTAGGTCAAAGGCCGTAGAATTAGCATCTCACAGGATACTCAGACTTCTCCCAGGTATGATCCTTTGTGCGGGTACCTCACACTTAGTTTCAACCGCCTGCTCGCTTTTGCACACGCCTATTGGCTTTGACTTCATGCTCCTACTCCTACAAAACATAAAAATAA